AGTAAGTAGCCACACAAGCAAGTCTTGAATCCAGAGGGTCAAAGGAATCTCTGAAAAAGAATTCCTCACTGGGATACAGCCCATGGGGAACATCACTGCTTGAGGTTGCCACACTGCTGACCAGCCAAAGTAGCTCCACCAGCAGCAACTGGGCACTATAAAATGGAGTGCACAGGTCCCATGGATGTAATACAAACCTTGTAGTCTGGCTCGTTCAATAACACCAGAGATGCACTAAACTTATACAAGGATAAGACACACCAAGCCAAGCCATTTAATACAGTCACTGCACAGCGATTTCTTTGCTCAGTACAGACAAGAGCCCGTTTCTTATCTGAATCATTTTTAACCTGTCAAACTTGTGGCTTCACAAGCCTCAAATGAGCCACCTTATAAACACTTAAATAACAGATACAGACCCAACATTACCAAGGTACAGCCAAGCACCCCTCCTGACCCCACAAAATGGACACACATACTTAACAAATGGATGGTTTCCACCCAAGTGTGAAATGTTGAGGTCCTATGATTTGTATGGTTGCTTTAAAAAGCTTCGCTGATTTTTAAACAGATTAGGTCTGGAAGCAGAAGGTGGAGGTGGGGAAAGCAGTTCAGTACATCTTACAGGAAAAAAAAAAAATCTGCCAGTTTTGTTAATCCAGTCTTGTTTTCTGCTAGATGTAACAATTCCCTTAAATTTCATCCCAGTTAATGCACTCTAAGATTACTTCCTTCTCCCTCTCATACACTCATCTGAACCTTATTTCCTTTACTTAGCACCAGAGGCAAAGAAAAGAGGTAAAGCTGTTGCAAGACTCCAAACCAGTGCAGCTGCAAATAAACCAAGCTGCTAAAATAAGGAAGTGCAACAAACTATAGCCCACCTGGTACAAGCAGGATATCTGTGCACTGAAACTGGAAAAAAAATAATGTTCTGAGGGCTACAAGTACAAAGGGATTATCAAGCAATTTTAATGTAAAACCATAAGCAACCAAACCTCTGCAAAAACCAAAACTCAAGCAGCTATGAAGGGAACCTGAACAAACGTATCTGCTGAATGCTGTTACAATTCATTCCCATCCCTGGCCATGATATGATACAAGGTTGCTATATTTCTTTTCTTTTTTTTTCCTGGTTTTCCCTCTGAAACATCACTTGCATTTTCTTTAGGGAATACAGGAGATAGCAGGTCAGATGATTTGTCCACCCTGTCTTATATTCAGTCTCTGGCTGTGGCCTATGACACAATTTAACAAAACACCTGATAATTCAGAATAGCCAGAAACATATACTCATCACCACTGAGGAGAGGAGAATTTGTCCTTTACCACAAATCATAACCAATTTTTACCCAAGTTACTGACTGCATCTAAAGATGCTTGATATTTTATTCATTTCTTATTTTTTATTCTTTCAATATACCATACCAATATCTTTCAGCAGAGACCCTAATTTCATTGTACTTTGCATACAGATTTTCCTTTTTCCTTCAAAGCGCTGACTTTGAAGTGCTGCTGTCTTTTTTAATACAAGAAAAATAAAAGCTCTTCCACCAGCTTGACTGGTCCTTATCTATTTGCTGTCGTACCTATATATTTACTGATGTATACATCTGCTCATCTTTCTTGTCTGTCCATGCTGAAGTTATATGTTAAACATTTTCAGAAGTATTTTGTGTGGCTTTATTATTGATTTTTCTGTCTGTGAACTCAAAAGAAATGTCTTATGCTTGATTTTCATTAGTACTGAACAGCCATAGCTTTAGACAATCAGTGAGATTTGTGGGTGCTCAGCAACTTGAGCTATCCAACAAACCTGAAACTGCTTTGGAAGTCTGGCTCCCCACTCCTATGAAGTTTTGCCTATTTGAAAAAAATGTTTTGCCCTTTGTTTCTGCCTCAGACTTTAAGATGTGGCAAATAAGAGTTAATGCAGTTTGGAAGGACATGCCATTTTAAAATTATTTGCCAACTTCTGACTGTGAAAATGTAGTGTATTACAAAATAATCCTTCTTATGAATAGTCCCTCAAATCTATAACTGTCATCTACCATCACACAGCCCAAATTCACATATAAAGCCTCACTTGGCTATAAATGAAAGGACAAATCCCATCTGTCCAATCAACCGAATAATGCCAGCTTTCCAATTTTTCTATAGTGTCTCGCTCTTTCCATTTTCCATCCTTTAGCTCTAACACTTTTGTCCACCTATTCAAAGAAAAGCAGAATTCCAAGGAACCACTGCAATCATTTGTCATGAACTTGTAGTGCTCTTTGTATCAACGCACAACAGCTGTCCCAGGTGTGGCTGTAAACCTTATCACTTCTAACACCTGATACAGTTCAGGTCCAGCTAAACTGCTGCAGCCTGCAATGACCTTACCTTTGTAGGGACAAGCAGCAACCAAGCTTGGCAAATGCTAGGGTAAACTGTCCCTTGTTCCATCCCATCATGCAGCACTTCATAACTAAGACACCCTAAAAGCCCCACTCCTATCAGCAATGCTGAGCACTACAGAACAGAGTGCACAGGTCCCATAGGATAAGACTCGTGTGAATGCACTGATTCTTTCAAAAGCAGTACACATGCAGCACAAGGATGTGCAACACAAAGCCATTCAATGTGATCACTGGAGACAAGAGCCTGTTTTCTACCTAAATCCGTTTTAATCCAGGTCAAACTTGCTTCCCACCTCAAATGACTATTTCCTTGAATTTGGTCTGCTACAGTAGCCAAAATAAACTATAGTTTTCTCCCTTTCCCACTCCAACACTCACATGAAGTTCACGTTAAGATTGTTTTTAGGCTTACAGTCAGGACAGGGCAAATCAGTTTAATATTTATACTGGGCTTGTGACTGAAATTCCAGCACTTTATGGAATATCTCAATAAAGGTAAGTAAATCTAAAAACAATCAACAGTAGGGGTATTCTTTTTCTCTGTTCAGTCCTCCATATTGTAATAACCATTGCATTGAGGGCCCAAGATTAGAATTAGCTCCTACAAAAGGAAAGGAACTATTATCAATCTTTCATCTGGGTAGAGTAGCTGTGTGTAACTACAGATTTCTGTCAGTAGTTCAGCTACAGTATAGTTGCCTTCATCTTATTAAGACTACTGCATTACCACTATCCACTCCCATTTGTATACTACAGCTTAATGCCCATAGTGTAGAATTTAAAAAGCTTTTGTGGCTCAACATCTTTCCCCACTATTTATCTGCAGAGAAACAATAGATTCAGCACAGTCACCTGTTTCTTGGAGATTGTCTCCAGTTCCCCAGATGGGCCAGCCACCCTACTGACTTGCCAAAAATCTGTGCTTCCTGTGGAATTTAGCAAGAAGCTGCCTTGCTGTTCCTAGCTATTTGTTTCTCCAATCTCTTCTTTGTTCTCTGATCTCCATTTTTTATTTGCCATGTAGCAGACAGACGTATGTGTCTGTTCTTTAGAAATAGATGACATTTCTGTATTGAGCTGGAGCAAATAGGTGGTTTCTCACACTTTTGCCGGCTGAGTTTTGCACTGGGATAAGCAAACAAGTAATGACTCGCTCAAAAATCTTTTTGAAGACATATTGTTCCTGGCTCCTCAATTCTAATGCAAAGATATGGGACCCAATTCTTGTTAGGCCTCAGGAACTCCTGGAATCAACATAATCTGACGGCTGATGAAGTGGTTGTGGGTAGAAATACAGAGAAATGTGTCTTGCCTGCTCTGTGTCCTTTTCCCTCCTGTAGGTAATGGTGGTATTAGAGAATGGTGTGGCAGCTGCAAGGGCTATGGCTCAAGCTCCATCTCACCTCATCAAGCTTTCCCTTCCTTTCTCTAGTTCAGGGTTTCTTATAGCACTCCTCCCAAAAACCTGTCGGCAGAATAACTAAGCTCCCACATCTTCTGGTTAATAGAAGGTCTTGCATCCCATTTCTGGAAACCTGGCAGCAAACCCTGGCTTCATGAAGTATGACTATTGCTGCAAAACTACTGCATATAAATTAGTTTTTTTACAGGAGCTTGACTTCGTAGGCATGGACTTAGGTTCACTCTGGACATTGTCGTTCTCCAGTAACATGCCTGCTATATCAAGATGTTGACCTCATGGTACATTTTGGCTTCACTTGACTCCATGTGCACTTAAAAGAGAGACAAATTACACAGATTTTGTTTGTTTTTTTTAAAGGCTTGATTTTTGCTGCCCATCAGCACTGTCTCAACATATTGCACAATGTTTTATTATAAAAAAGTGTCTTCTGTATCAGGCAGAAAGAAAAAAGTTTCCTCAAGGAGTTGCTAATGCGTACCATTGTCTGTAGTTAGAGGTAAGTGGTTGTTTAGGTGGCCATCAGGAAGTGGGATCTAATTGGACAGAAACAAAAACTTATTAGTTGCCTGTCCAAAAATTGCATGCATTGCATAGTTTTGATTTTAATGCACAGTCCTCTCATTTTTGGCTTTTCTGTGTTCTTGTGATTTCTCCTTTCCAGGAAAGGAGAAATCATCCACCTATAACAGCCTAGCTTAAAAAACACAAAAAAACAAAAACAACCCCACCCCACCCCACCCCACCCCCACACACACACACAGACAAACATGCTCCTCAAACTTTTTAAAAGCTTCTTATCATGCTTCTATTGAAGAGGATTCTGTTTGATCATCTTACACAAGAAAAGTATTGGATGCTATCGTTGTTCACTCACATAAGAGCTGTTTTTTTAAACAAACCTTGTACTCTGCTTGAAAATGGTTATACCATTTCTTTAAATTTATCACAAAACAATTACTCTTACCGATATAGATTTATACGAGCCCAATCTGAAACGACAGCAGATGATTTCCACTATGAATCTTCCAATGCCATGTAAAATGCCTATAATATCAAACAGGGTTTGAGTTTTTACAAGGGATGAGAGAAGAACTCTGCATGAAAAGCTTTTGAAATGACAACCACAAAAAACTATTTCAGGAACAGAAAAAAATATATGTTTATACTCTTGCTGATTTCCTTAGAGACTTCTAAGTTGTAATGAAAAATATTTTAGTTCTTACAAATATCAGAGCAAACTCTCCCCACCAGTTTAATTTCAACTTAAGAAAGCGTGAATTAATCAACAAAGAGATTTGCATTTATTCACTGGCTGAGTCAGGGGTGAGAAACAAAAAAAAACTGATTCTTGATTGACAAGACCAAAAAAATATATAGTAAAAAAAAAATCCACCCATAAAGAATGACTCTGTTTTTCACCAAGGACCTGACAGCTTTTTTACTAGCTTAGTTTTTAAACCAAAAGAAGTGTAAGTGTACTGTATTCTACAAAGTGTCCCCTGGCAACAGGCATGTGCTACACACTTGCACTATGCACTGAATAAGTCAGTGCTTTGAACCAGGGCCCCTCTATGATTTATAACAAGGAAGACACTGAACAAAATAAGTTCTTAAAGTGCAAATCCCATCCAGGGCACTGGTAATCTGAGTTAAAAAGCAACTTTTTGTCCCAGGAAGCAACACAGAACCAATTAGCAGTTTCAAGCTACAGAGGTTTTCTATGGAACTGTTGCAGGCACATACATTTTCACACTTTTCTATTTCTATAGAAACACCAATATATTATTTTTTCCTTTGAGACTAACGGAATTTGTAAACATTTTATTGGGCTTGGTGGTGGCTGGAAAATCCAGAATGGTCACTCAATCAAGGTAGGAAAAGACTTAGTAACTTTCTGGGAACAAGGTCATAGAAAGGCTGTTTTCAGTACCACTGTGGGAATGGAAAAAAAAGACAGACCAAGGATATCAGCCTTGGTTACAAGCTGTGGCAGCAAAAAACCAGAATAAGACAAAAAAGATTAGCATGGCCCTTTTGCAAGGATGACCAGTTACAAGCTCAAAGAAAATTGGTTATCAGAGACTACTCAAGACACTACAGTAAAATCTCTGTTATCCAGCATTTACCTAACTAGAATACTTTATTAACCAGAATTTCAGTGGCAGGATGCATACGACGCTGTGCTGCTTTGCTTCTGCTGTGCCATTTCAGCGGCAGGACTCACATTGCAGTGTTAAGTGTACTGTACTTTTAAGTGATCTAGGTGTACGCCATGCACTGCCAATAGTGTACTACATGTAACTTTAGTGTACTATACTGTACATCACTGCCTCAGGATTTCTTTTCACTCCAGTGCTGTTTTACTACTAAATTGGCAAGTACCTGTATACTACTTTATTCCTTATACAGTATGTTATATTGTAATGTATTGTACACAAATTCTTTGAAAATTTGCACTACAAGTATGGCACTGTCTTCCTTGCTAGGTATACTCTCAGATAACTTGCACCCCCATTCCCTACTCATGCCAGATAACAGATATTTTACTGTATTAGCGACCTGTGTAAATTGGATGATGGTTATATTTTTTCTAACAATTTTTAAAACAAAACAAAACAAAAAAACACCCCTGCATTTGAGTCAGCACATCATTGCATTTACTCACTCTCACTAGAGCAGAGTATAACCTATACCTTTGTTTCACTAGATAGATAAAATATTTCTATAGCATTTATAATACGGATATCTAACAGAATACAGGGGCCTTTGCTCAGCTTATATCAAGTCAGAAGCAATTACTGTCAGCAAACAGTCCATTCAAGATTTAACATAGTAAAAACCTTGTAGTAGCTTCAGTGGGAACTATACCTCAATATACCTTTACCAGCTTTGGGACTGGTTAGCAGAACTGGGCCCCAAATGCAGGAATTAGATAGATATATATCATTGTATATCCAAGTACTTCCAGGAAAAAGCAGATACAGTTTTTAATTATCAACAAAAAAAAATGGCACATCCACCCTGAGTGCCCTTAGAGGTTATTTACATATTACCTTGCGATTAAAAATTAAATAGAATCTAACAGATGAGTAGCTAGGCTCTCTAACGTTCATGGCTATCTAACAGCTCATTTGCACAAACTCTTAAGAAAGTGTAACCTGGATGGTTAATGGAATCTTGGCTTTTAATCATGACACCCTACCCATCTGGTAAGGCTGTAAAAGAGAACGCATGGTACACTACCTGTAGTTGAGAAAATTCCTCCAATAATACCACAGAGTCTCACTAAGAACTGCCAAAAGGGCATGTGTTCTTCTGTCACTGTCACCATAAGTGAACTGATGTCATATTTCATGAATATTCCTGACACCCCATGGCTGCCAGCTGCATGGTTTATGACTCTTTCCTAAAGATGGGAGGCAAGAGAAACATACAAGTCATAGCAGTACCACTAATGAGAATATTGGTCACAAGCAAAGCATTATTTAATGGACAAGGCTGATAAAGACAAAAACTTGTTGTTCAAATGATCAGCAATCAACATGAGACAACAAAGCATCAAAGGATTCTTAGTTTTAATTTCTCCCTGAAATCCTTTCAGGCTGCTAATTTTTTTTTTTTTTTTTTTAGATAAATGAAGTAAGCCTTACACTGAAGGGCCCAGAACTAACTGTCAATACTCTCAGCAGTCTCACTTGGGGCCATTTACATGAACTTGTAAATGTAGCTCCAAGATGTTTGTTTTTTCTGTTGCAAGTTCACATATCATTTTTTGTCCTGTATCTCCAAGAAGTTTCTATACTTTTTACCATTTTCAAGTGCCAGTGTATATGTATGTAAATTTGTTCTCCCCACCTATGATATTACCCTACATTTGCTTGGCTGATTCTTACCTCATTAACTTGAATCTTTGTTACTCTTATAAATTACTGGTTACTGCTATTCATAATGTCCTGTTAAATTAAGACTGTTCTGTAAGCTTGAATATGCTTCCTACTATCCTTGTTCTCCCGACTGTTATTATGGTCAGCAGGCATATGCGAAACGGGCCGTATCCGATTCAGATTTGGCCCGAATCAGGGGACAGTGATTTGATTTGTCAATTCAGATCATTGCCCTGATCCGATTCAGCCGAATCCGAATCTGAAGATTCGATGCTGATTCAGAGAATCAATGATTCAGCCACAGACACAGCTTTAAATGTTTTTTCTACATACCTTGAGGTATGAGGCATGGCTCATGATTGCTGAGATGGTGGGGCAGATGGAGCGTCTCACAAGAGCGTGGGGGGCTCCGTGTGCTTGGCAGCAGGCCTGGAAGTGGACCGGAAGTACGTCCATACCATTTCCAGGTCTGCTGCCGAACGCATGGGGACCCCACCCCCGCTCAGTGATCAGCCACGTGGGAGACCCAGGTGCCCCCCCAGACACAGGAGGTTCAGTTACCAAGCCAGGGGGCAGGGTCCCCCACATGCTCTGCAATGGCCCCAGAAGTTTACCGGAAGTGCTTCTGGTCCACTTCTGGGTCTGCCACCGAGCGTGCTGGGGACCTCCCCATGGTATGCTCCATCTGCCCCAGCATCTCCGCATTCACAAGTTGTCTGTGGTACCTTGAGGTATGTAGAAAAAACATTTAAAGCTGTGTCTATGTCTGAATCATCAAATCTCTCCAAACTGATTCTGATGGTTCCAATTTGATTTAGACAGATTAAAGGGTTTCAGTTTGATTCGGGGATTCGGCCACCAAATCGGGCTGAATCTAATCAGTGACTGAAGCTTTGCACTAATGGTCTCCTGACCCCTAATGGTCAGTGATAAAGCCAGTTAAAAGGTTTTATCATAACATGCACAGTGAAGCTCTTCAAATGGTTTTCAAGAGAACTAAAGTCCTATCAAATTAAAGTTTCTTTGAACTCACAGAATCATAGAAAATTAGGGTTAGGAGGGACCTCAGAAGGTCATTTAGTCCAACCCCTTGCTCAAAGCAGGACCATCCCCAACTAGATCATCCCAGCCAAGGCTTTGTTTAGCCGGGTTTTAAAAACCTCCAAGGATGGAGATTGCACCACATCTCTGGGTAACCTGTTCCAGTGTTTTACTATCCTCCTAGTCAAAATTCTTCCTAATACCTAACCTAGACTTTCCTTGCTGCAACTTGAGACCATTGCTCCTTGTTCTTAGTGTTGGCAGATGACAGAACAGTCTAGCTCCATCCTTTTTGGAACTACCCTTTAAGTAATGAATTAAAACTATTAAATCCTCTCTCAGTCTTTTTTCTAAACTAAAATAAGCCTATGTCTCTCAGCCTCTCCTCAGAAGTCATTTGCCCCAGTCCCCTCAATATTTTCATTGCCCTCTGCTGAACGCTAATTTGTCCAAATCCTTTCTGTAGTGGCAGGGGGGGAGGGGGGAGGAAAGAGGAGGAACTGGATACAGTACTCTAGATGTGGCCTCAACAGTGCTGAATAGAAGGGAATAATCACTTCCCGTGATCTACTGGCAACACTCCTACCAGTGCAGCCCAGTATGCCGTTAGCCTTCTTCACAACAAGGGCAGACTGCTGGTTCATATTCAGCTTATTGTCCACTGTAACCCCCAGGTCCTTTTCTGCAGAGCTGCTGCCCAGCCAGCGAGCCACCAGCCTACACTGGTGCATGGGACTGTTCCGTCCGAAGTGCAGGACTTTGCACTAGTCCTTGTTGAACCTCATGACATTGTTTGGTCCAATCCTCTGATTTTCTTGGTCACTCTGAATCCTAACACAACCCTCCAGTCCCCACGCATCTTTGTGTCATCTGCAAACTTGCTGAGGGAGCACTCCATCCAATCTTCCAGGTTGTTGATGAAGATATTGGACTAAACTGGCTCTGAACTGACCCCTCAGGCACTCTACTTGATACTGGCTACTACCAGGTAGGCAAAACCATTGATTACTACTCTTTGAGCCCAACAATTCTGTCAGCTTTCTATCCACCTTAGATGCAGTTTGCTACCTTTTGGTTGTAAATGCTCTTGATAAATATGCTGTCAGGTAAACACTGTTGCGGAAATATGCAGGATAGCAGAGGAGAGCTAATTCACTGAAGGAAGACAAATTCAGCAACAACTAGGCTAATGAGATAAAGTAGATAAAGGTGAAAAAAACTAAACAAAGTCAATATATTACAGTGTAGTTCTACCCCATTTAAACACAATCCTTCCTTCCTGTTATTAAAAAACAAATTAAAAAAACACAACCTGTTGATTCTGTTGTCAGAATCAAAAGCTGACAACAGCTAGGAAAACAGACATCTCTGCCTTATACAGTAAAATGGAAGTTGACAGGCAGAAGCATATTACATTTATAATGTAAAGTCGCTCCTGTGACAGGATGCCAGTTTCACTCATCAATTACAATAGCTGCCACAGACCTTTTATTGCAACATTTAAACAACTATAGCAGAGAAGACACCTAGGTTTATTTCCTGCTTTTGAAAATCAACAGATTGCATTAAATCAGGGTTGTCCAATATCCCCAGTTCTGGGTTGCATGCAGCACTAGCCACATGCTTCAGGGGGGTGAACCCCCCAGGATTTCCCATAATACTGTGTAGGCAACAGACAGTTCCCCTCTGCATGGGCTGCACAGGCTGCGTGCAGATTCGCACCACACGGGCTGCATGGCTGGCACACAGGCCACTCAGACCTTCCCCCACCATGCAGCTGTAGGAAAGGCAGCTACAGGGGCCTGTGGGCCAAGCACTGGCCCCTTGCAGGCTATGTGTGGCTGCCAGCTAGACAGCCTTGCATTAAAGCAGAAAAACACAGAAGCAAGCATACATCAAACTGACACTGCATATGAATGAAAGACTGGCTCCTATTAGTAAGGTCACTAGGCAAAGCCAAGGATCATTAATAACAATTCTTTTCTGATTGGTATACAGGGCCCTACTGGAAATCCTGAACTGTCATACACCTATGGACTTGAACGGAGCTGTAACATTTTTACTAGCAGGGGATCTGTCTGCATCATAATAGAAACATGAAGACATATGACAAGCATTAGCCTTCACTCAGGTCTCATGTAGAACAGGATGCTTTAACAAATTCAAACAAAGATTTTCAAACAGAATTAGCTAATAATTCAAACCATGACTTTGCAATGACAGCTAAACCCTACTGAGGGTCAGGTTTTAATCTGTGATGAGGTGACACAATATGGATCATGAATTTTTCAAGTCCTGAGCATTAGGGCTGCGTGAAGCTTCAGTAGCCAATTCAATTTGGAGGAGATACGGCCCGATTCAGAGGCCGAATCGAATCAGGAGACCCATTACAAGGCCCAACTTAAATCATAAGCCTCTGAATCAATTCAAAAAAGATTTGGCGTTGATTCAGGGATTTGGCCACAGACTAAATAGGCAGCAATCCTCGACCATGCTGGACAGGACACAGCTGCCTCCAGCTAGTAAGTCTGTTGTGGTGGGCAGAGAGGGGAGGGAAGGGGTGTTGGGGGTGCAGATCAACACCCCCACAGCGAGGGAGGGATTGGGGCTGGGGCTGGGACCCAGGCTGGGGCGGCTGTGCTGCTGTGCGCCACCAGTCTGGGAGCTCCTCATGTGCCAGCTTGTCAAGCAGCTCCCACCGCCGGTCTGGGAGACCATGGGGTGGGGGAGTGCGGTCCATGATCGGCGCAGGGTAGGTAGGGCTGTGGCTGCACCAGACAGGAGGCGGAACGTGCTGGGAGTAGGGGCTATGCTGCCCCACTGCTCACCCAGCTGGTGCGGGGCCAGTGTGAGACTGAGCCACTACGGAGGTAGCCACTGAGGGCTACCTCCATACAAGCGGCACACAGTGGAGGGAGCCGGCTCAGCCTCCCTGCACCTCCTGGACAAGAAGTGGCTTCGCCCCAACTGGGCGAAAGGTGGCAGGGCATGGCAGAGGGGTGGGGGGGGGCTCTGGACTAGGGCAGAGCAGGCAGT